CACAGTTCTGATAATGAGGAAATCAGAAAGAATGTTTAAAACTAGTGATGATGTTTATGTCATTATTCTTAATCTAATCTAATCTAATCTTGATTATATAATAATTAATTCGGCTGAGAAAGCAGTAGTCCCTAGCTTGTCAACGTCCAGTAGCCAAAGGAATCAAACGATCTTAGACAGCTCATTTGCAGTGATGGGGCCTCGATTGTGGAACATCATTCCCGCAAACCTGCACCTTATCGAGGACCCCCTACGCTTCAAGTCATTGTTGACGGAGTTTGTTACATCTATTCCGGACGAACCTCCTGTTACTGGATATTGTTGCCAGAACGGGAATTCGTTATTGAACTGGAGCGCAGAAAAGACAGCAACTTCGCTGCACGGGTGGTCAGCTGTTCTGATGACCCGATAGAGGATCTATGAAGCAACCCCAATTCCAAGTAACCCGAAGTAGTGAACCAACACATAGCAAGAGCCACATTAACGTTATGACCGTCTACCAAATTTGAATGACAAACAATAACAAGAAATCAAACATATCATAAAAAATTATAAGTATTTTGCTCGTTACAATTCTGTCACAGCGAACTGAGCTTGAGAACGAGAAAAATAAGGGAGACAAGCGGACAGGAAATCGGACGGACAGTATTGTAATCAACAAAAATACATTTCTGGGAAACTAATCTGGCCAGACTGTATCGGCAGCCCAAAGGTACTTGATCAGTTTGGCCTTAAAAGTATAAATCCGCTCTTACTTCCGGTTACATACTGGTAGACTATTCCATTTCAGCATAGATCTATGAAAGAAGCTATTTCGGAAGGCATCCGAGCAGGGCACACCCGGCACAGTCTAGTAGTACTCATGTATGTTGAAGTATCCGACCTATCAATTATTTGAGCATTGTGCCTAGTTCACATTACATATTACGTTATCACTTTTTGGCCCATTTTTAACTTTAAGATATTGTGCCAAAATTACGCTAGAGCGTAATCATTTTAGAAAATCTATTGGAAACCTGTCAATGTGTTGGAACTGGTTCCCAAGGGGGCGCAAATTTCAGTAGGCCATATTTAAATTACCCGCGAGTATTCAATTTAGGAGCGTTTTATGATTACCCTAGAAGTTTATTATCCTCATGATGAAATACTGATAGTTGAATAATATCCAGTTGAAAAAAAAAAAGAAAAAAAAATAGACAAGGACAAATGAAACAGGAATGTAGACAAATTTTTGGCGTCAACGCCATCTTCAGGCTATAATTGGTACAAATGATAGTATAAAATTCTAAATGGTTCTACAATAGCGGTAAAATGATAAAATTACAATCACTGAATAAAGGTTACATCAAATGGTTTTACATTTGTAGCGCATCTTCTCGCAACCAATCTTCAGTAGATCGGCGAAATACTGCTTAGAGCAAGAAATACACCACTGGGCCTCGCTTGTATCACGTGGTGACCCCCACTGTCGCTTCACTATAGTGTAGAGAGTTTCTACGATACAGGGGAGCCGCGCACTCGTGCGCGGCGGGTCATACAACGTATGACAAGGCCTCGCCGAGCTGCGAAGGATTGACATTGTGAATCAAGTCTAACATATTACACAAAATAGTGATGTACACACATTTAACACTTTTCTTCTTACTATACGGGCAAAAAGACTTAACGGATGATACTCGTAAAATATTTGTTTCGTTGACGAGTCCAACTCGGTGCGCGTCCTGGTAGGTTATAAACCTACAAAAAATACGTGTTTTCTGCTATGAGTTTGAAGACCTAACCATTAATTGGACACAATAGTATGATGTGTAAGGATCGAGAATATGTTAAGAAATATAAATATGGCCTTATTAGTCAGTAGTCACGTGCTATAGCAATGCGCGTTTTATAAACTTTGACAGTCTATAACTCTTATGCCATGAACAAAGTAATTATATTCATATTTTGTCAGCAATAAGATCACATCATGTTTTCTATTTGGCATGGTGTGAAAATATGAGCTAGAACAGACACAAGACATAATTTGAAATCTCGCTGAGTTATACTTATGGCTGTTTCAAATTTATGATTAACGCGCGGGTGCCCATTAATAACAACTAAATGCTTTTGTGTGTAGTGCGCGAAAATTTGGCAAAAAGATTGCGGAGTGACAATATTTAAACTTCGATAAAGTATAATAATACGAAGTGGCCTGGTTGTAGCGCGATGCGTTACTGTGCCGCGCCGCGCACTCAATAAGGCTTCTCACAGCGACATTGGCTAGATCGGCGAGATGCGCTATATACTGTGCCGCGCCGAGCTGCCATGAATTGACATCGTCAATTAAGTGGCCTGGGTACTTTTCGGAAAGGAAAAATTTAGTGAAACACGATGTAACTATGTTTTGTCATACGTTGTATGACCCGCCGCGTTGTATGACCCGCCGCGCACGAAGTGCGCGGCTCCCCTATAGTGAAGCGACAGTGGGGGTCACCACGTGATACAAACTATGTTTGGGTTGATTTGATACAACTGCAGAAAATAATTCAAACTTAAAGCAGGGCACAATTTGACCACTTTTTTGGATTTTCACCCGGGGAAAAATTAAGGGATTTGTTTAAATTTATACCATTATGTGCGGCTATATTTCAGTTACCTGGGGACCTCAGGCTATCATGTTCATTAACAATAGAGATTCGGCGGAATGACAGGCTGAGCGCCGCCCAGTAATATTTCAGCTATCTTCATGCAAATTTTTTTGATATGCAAACGAAATTAACTTGCTCAAAAGTTCAAAAAACATAGTTTTTGGCCTATATTTGGCCCCAAAATCGGGCCAAGTTTTTTACGATTTTACCCGGGGAAACTCAGACTTATCATTTCAAAACCACTTTTAATCGATTCTACGGTCCAAAATACGTCTAGAAAGGTTGTATCACGTTTGACCACCATGGTCGTTTCACTATACCCTTATAGCGCGATGCACTACTGGGCCGCGCTGCGCATCCAATAATGCTTCTCGCAACCTATGCAGATCGGCGAGATGCGAAGGATTGACATCGTGAATCAAATTATACCCCTGTAGAGTTTCTACGATACAGGGGAGCCGCGCACTCGTGCGCAGCGGGTCATACAACGTATGACAAGTACTTGTAGGTTTATAACATACCAGGACCTACCGCTTACCTGGGGAGCTCAGGCTATCATGTTCATTTGGCGGAATGACATGCTGAGCGCGGCCCAGTAATGATCCGCTAAAAACGGTACATGCAGTGAAACGATTCACATAGCCATGAGTCTACGCGTACTGCGTGACGCGCTTGTGCAAGCGAGGCGAGAGGGCTCTGGATCTGGTTAGAGCAAGTGAAACGACAATATGGGTCACGACTTGTCATACCTTGTATGACCCGCCGCGCACGAGTGCACGGCTCCCCCTGTATCGTAGAAACTCTACAGTTTCACTATAGACATAGTGAAACGACTGTGGGGGTCACGACGTGATATAAGTCACGACGTGATAAAATACATGCGAGAAGCTCGAAAAAAGCGCCGCGCAATCTGCAGTCGCGCATTATGATGGTCGTGCCAGGTAAATTGCACCCAATTAGGAAACCTCACCGGCTGAGCCATCTATCTTGTATCTCCAAAGTTAAAATATTATATCGTATTCCGGTTTTTGGAAAAATGTCCGTTTCGTAAAAGTAGGACTAGGAGGGAAATTGGAAACCTTATACTTACAGATTGCTGCAGAAATTTTGACAGCAACTTTTTTGACCACAGAAGCCTGGGGTCCTATCCCCATTTACAATTTAATTGCCACTAATCCCTTGTCATACGTTGTATGACCCACCGCGCACGAAGTGCGCGGCTCCCCCTGTATCGTCAGGACGATACACCTAGTGAAACGACCGTGGGGGTGAAACGACCGTGATACAACTAATCCCCAGGTAAACAATATTGTGATTGCATATTTTACTGTTCGCCGTTACTTTGTTATACTTATATTTCCTAGTATTCCCAAGTCATGGGGATCCGGATGGCAGTTCTTTAACCAAGTGCACCCTGACCCTTGCTCTATCATCTATCCAGAGCCCTTACCTGGGGACATCAGGCTATTATATTTATGTTCATGATCAGAGATTCGGCGGAATGACAGGCTGAGAGCGGCCCAGTAACCATAGAGCCCTTGCAGTAGCGGGCGCTCGCCGGCCGACCCGGCTTGTGAAACAAGCGCGCCCGCAGTGGCGCGAAAGCACATGGTTGGTTACTGGGCCGCGCTCAGCCTGTCATTCCGCCGGATCTCTGATTATGAACATAAATATAATAGCCTGATGTTCCCGGGTAAGGGCTCTGGATAGATGATAGAGCAAGGGTCAGGGCTTAATTTCTTTAAAAATGTTCAAATCTTAAATTCGATCGAGCGTGCTAAATCACTTTTCAGTCGATCTTCGAAATTTTTCTAAAAGGGTCCCCGACAGTCTAGTTGAGAGCAACTTGAATCAATGTATTTTCGAATCACCCACATAACATACACCATACAAGATATTACTAGGCCGCGCTCAGCCTGTCATTCCGCCTAATCTCTATGTTGATGAACATAATCAATAACAAATAATAGCCTGAGGTCCCCAGGTAAACAAGATAGAGTTAATAAAATACTCCCCTGACGAGATATTGGCAAAAACTGTCTCGATCACGTGACATGACTATTATATGTAAGGAAGTTGGTCTAATTTCTCGTTAGGGTTAGGGTTTCAAATGCTTTTGTTAGGTATTGGGTTAGGGTCGGTTAAGGTTTGAGGTTGGGATCAGATAAGAGGGTTAGGGTTTCGAATAGTCATGCAGGGCCACATACCCCGGCAAACGCCACTAGAGAACGGGTTACAAAAGTCACGTGACAGTTGAGTTTAGAGTGATTAATCATTATCCAAATTCGATAGCAAATTTTCCGCTCTTTCTCTGAACCATCTTTTGCTTAACTTTAGTGTTACTGACAGTATGAGTGAAAAGCATAAACAAGGTTTTAGAATTAATTTAAGCGAGTAAGCAGCTATAGAATTACATCAAAAATCATACTATAAAAAACTTAAAACGTGCCTTGCCAATATAAATTGGTGTCTACGTCGCAGTCGCAAATTGAAAACTTTATACCGAAATTTCCATAATATTTGACGACTAGCGAAATATATGATTACAGATTAAGAGATTACCAGTCTTAAATTTAAAAGCGATGGAAGAAGCACTAAAATGCTTTACCATGTTTACATGAGAGGTACTGAAAATAACACCAAAAATATTGACTGGTATTTTTCTTGGTATTTAAAACAATACCAATTATCAGTTCTCTACTTGTATTGAATATCCTATAAAAATTATCAAAATTTAAGATTCGGTTTGCATAGCATGCATTTTATACAATAACAAATTCGCCCCAATTCCAATATAACATATTAATCATTAAACGGAGATCATAAACTGTGTTTACAATAACACTATCTTCTGAAAGTAAAATGATGTACTTTTCTTATAATTGCAGTCCTAACTTCGTGTCAGCAAAAATATCACTCAATTCAAAAATAAAAAGCAGCCTGGAATGGGCTCTGACAAATATTCATTATCTGACCATGTTCTAGATATAATGACTCAAGTACCAGTGTGAACCTGCACATCAGTAAACGTGTTAACTTTAGGGGGAGACATCCTAGCGGTGATGAGAGAGGCAATGTCTTCTTCATGGTCGGTGACACAAGTTTCGTGGTCTCCCTGAACACTGTCCACCATTATCCTCCCTGAGCATACCTTGCTCAGCCCGTAATCTTCTCCCACCTGAGTGTACTGTTCAACCTCAAATCACTGTGCTGGCAAGCACTTAGCGCGACCGTTGACTTTATATCCCCTTTAGTTTTACTGTATGTCCCCCCCCCCATCTCAACTTTTTTCTTTCATTTAGACTCATCAGAAGTCTTTCAGCAGGCATATTTTTAGTTCAAAACATTCTAAATACGCGCCAGCACTATATCTTATTTATAATTCAAAGAATTATGTTTGTCTGTAGAATGTATGTACGACCGCCCACGTGCAAATTAGGTAAAAAGCAAAAGGTTGCATAGTATTCATGGTAATACTAATACCTTCCTCCCTGTGGCCACGGGCTTTCTAGTCTTACTTATAATTCAAAGAATTATGTTTGTATGTCTGTATGTACGACCGCCCACGTGCAAATTAGGTAAACAAATAAAAGTTGCATAGTAACCATAGTAACGGTGTTGAACGTGCACGTGCAAAGATTGGCGAGCGACATTTTTTGGTAATTACGTTGTGTTCAGTGCGAGCTACAATTTAAATCGGCTGTATCTTCGGTGGGATAGATAATTTTTGATGCGATTAAAACTGACTGCCAAATAAATAAAAAAACTGCTAGCTTCATCCCTGTTACCAAGGGCTTTCTAGTATAATTATATACTTATAGTGTTAGTGCTAAATGCTAATGTTATACGGAATTTGGTAAAAACCCAAAATCTCCATATTCAGGTGCCTTAAAAACCAAGTTAAAATTCAGTTAGAGATCTGAAATTTTGCAGGGCGTCTAGACGTTGACCAAATCGACCTCAAAAAAGTTTCAAGTTGCAGGAGTATCGGGATTCTTCCCGATTCGGGAAGGGGGTTTTCTGGAACCCCTGTTTCACGACAGATTGTCGTGATATAGGGATATATTCATTATTCAGCATTCAGGGAGAATGCTTGCCAGTCAATATTAGTCCATATTCAAATCTCTGTACATTTAAAAGTATAAAAGATACAGACATTTCAGACCAAAGGTCTTGAAGATAATTGTCATCATGACCACTTGATGACGTTATCAAGGTAAGCACTTTTAAAGATTGACTTTTGACAACGTAACAAATTTTCAAATCGATTTCACACCATTAAGAAGTAATTTAATTCGAAAATTTGCACAAGTGGGGATACGCCCAAATCGATAGAAAATCACTAAAATCACAGAAAATTGTTATTTTCACGACTTTTTTTACAATGAAACTTTGCATCATTGCATGCTTAGCAAATAGCAACGAATCATAAACTACAAACATGCAAAAATTTACCTCCTTATAAATGAAGTTCTCAGTATTACATTTCTGAGGACACTGATATTAACCAAAAATAGATGATATTTTGCCAAAACTCATAATTGGGTAGGGTGAACCGTTGCCAGTGTCTCTCTTTCAAAGGAGAGATGATATCAATTTGAAATACCGTTCTAAAATGCAAAATGATACAGAAAATGAAATCGGTCGCTCTCTTTTCCCATTCATTTACAATTTTAATGAACTGAAGAACAGTACCTGACGCGGAGGCAGTACTCGGCAATACACTAGGTGTCGGGCCAAAAGCAACCCGAAGAGATTTCTACAGAGTGTGGTCGATGTAAGAAACCTAAACTCATTACAATTCGCAAGCCGTAAATGAATGGGAAAAAGGAGCGATCACCGAGTTCATTCTCGGCAGGGGTGTAGGAAGTGGGGGGGCAGGGGGGCCATCGCCCCCCCATGAAATCTGGGCAAGGGGCCAAAAAGGGCCAACTTTTTAATTTAGGTTTCTAAAAATTTTTGGGACAAATTTTTTTTCCCCCAAAAATTTTAAAGTCAAAAATTTTGTAAGTCAAACATTTTCAAAGTCAAAAATTTTTAAAGTTTTCTTGGAAACTACTTTTGTTCATGTTTCATGCTACCCTGATCATTCTGAGCCAAAAATATTTTGTTCGGTTTTCGAAGTTCGACATACGATTTTGGACTCGAGGGTTCCCCTTTGTAATGCGATCTCGGAAGGCAGGCCCCCGATTCGCAATACGAGCTCGGACGCGGGAGTTCTGTTTTCAGAGGTACGTATCGAGAATGACTCGGACCGAAAATTTTCTAAGTCAAAATTTTTCAAAGTTTTTCTGGAAACGACTTTTGTTCATGTTTCATGCTACCCTGATCATTCTGAGCCGAAAATATTTTTGTTCGGTTTTCGAAGTTCGATATACGATTTTGGACTCGAGGGTTTCCCTTTGTAATGCGATCTCGGAAGGCAGGCCTCCCCTTCGCAATATGAGCTCGGAAGCGGGAGCTCTGCTTTCAGAGGTACGTATCGAGAATGACTCCGACCGAAAATTTTTAAGTCAAAATTTTTCAAAGTTTTTCTGGAAACTACTTTTGTTCATGTTTCATGCTACCCTGATCATTATGAGCTGAAAATATTTTTTTCGGTTTTCGAAGTTCAATATACGATTTTGGACTCGAGGGTTCCCCTTTGTAATGCGATCTCGGAAGGCAGGCCTCCCCTTCGCAATACGAGCTCGGAAACGGGAGCTCTGCCTTCAGAGGTACGTATCGAGAACACCTCGGACCGAAAATTTTTTAAGTCGAAATTTTTCAAAGTTTTTCTGGAAGTTACTTTTGTTCATGTTTAATCCTACCCTGATCATTTTGGGCCGAAAATATATTTTTCGTTTTTTTTGAAGTCCGTACCTACATTCGGAAGGTTGTGGATGTGATACTGATCGGTTTCGTGTACTAATTATAGAAAACGTAATATTTGGCCCACAGATTTGAAGCAAAATACGCAATTTTGGTCCTCAGATTTAAAGGAAAATGCGCAATTTGACGCAAAGAAATGAAAAAATCGCGATTTGTCGTGAGGCCAGGATCTGAAAAATCGCGATTTGTTGCGGCAAACGTGAAAAATCGCGATACCGCACATGCTGCAATTTCCTTTTATCCTTACCCTCGAAATTCAGGCTTTGGCGCGAAGCGCCAACAAATTTAGGCGGTGGCGCGAAGCGCCAAAAAATATTTAGAATTTGGCCCCCCCATGAAGAAAATCATTCCTACACCCCTGATTCTCGGTATCATTGTGCATAACTTGAGAATGGTAATTCAAATTGATATCATTTCCTTTTGTTTTAAGGAAAGGGAGACTCTATCCAATTATGGGTTTTAACTTTTAGTAAAATATCAAGTTTTTTGGTATAATATCATGTTTTATGAGATTGTTTTATGAAATTGTTTTATGAGATTGTTTCACAATATCTGAAAATTTCGACAAAAATTAATAAGTACCTGATAACTATCAATAGCTTTGATGAGATGGACGGAACCAGAGAAGGTGCTCGTCGGAGAGTAGTTCATGGCTAAAATTATGAGTTTCGAGAAATACAGCATTTTGTACCCTGTATCCGCAGTCAGCATCCCAGGCATCTTTTCCTTCAGCACTGACATGGCAACCTAGGGATACGATGTAGACTAAGTTTTGCTGGATTATAAGACAAAAGCGAAGTTAACTCAAGCAATCGAATGCATTAGTATTTAACGACTTTACAAATTGCGTCATTTCAGAAATTATGAAATCAACTGGCGTCTGGCACACAAATACAAAAGAGTATTACCTTAACTTGAGCCTCAATGTCAGGAGAAAGAATTGACAGTTTCTCGTACAGTCCTTCAGGTTCCGAACCAAAAGCACGCCTAATGAATCCAAGCACAGTTTCAGTAGGCTTATCCAAACTTTCAGACCTCTTCGACTTGATATTTGCCTCCTTGTAGTCCTCAATCTGCCCATTTACCCAATTAGGAGATCCATCAATGAGGACAAGATACTCCATTAGCGATAGATCGTCTTCTTTAAATTGAAGTGCCATCTCGAACGCCAGAACGGCCCCAAACGAATACCCTCCTAATCGGAACTTGCCCTCTCCGCGATGTTTCTTAATCTCAGAGTTGTAGAAGGAAGATATAGATTCCAGAGATTCCAAGGGAGCCTTTTCAGTAAACTGCACCGCAATCACAGTTGAATCTAGATGCTTAGCTATATTTGCCAGAGGTTCTACGTCAAGGGTGATAGGGTGAATCAGGTAAAGAGGTACAGTACCAGCCACTGTTTTTAACACCACCAGAGACTCGGTTGCCTTTTCTTCCGTTTTGGTCTCTGTTTTACCAGAAGTATCCTCCCCACTTTGAAGTCTTGTGATGTCTGATAATGTGAGAGCTCTAATTTCTTTGCTCGAGAGTCTGATTTCAGCCCGCTCCAGGGCCTGTTTAACTTCCACTCCCATCAAGCTGTCCAGACCGAGGTCACCGAGGGAAATGTTGTGGTCGAGTTTACTTGGATCCGATGCTCCCATAATGTTGGCAACAACCACCACCAGATCACTGCCACCCTCAGCCTTTGCTTGGTTTTCTTTGTCAGCCAGGACTATAGAGGAGACTACTGGAGAGCTGAGCGTCATAGCGTGAGACATGGTGCTCAGACAATTCCATATTCTCTGGGGATAGGTTCCACCGATATTAGCATCGTTACCCACCATACTATGCGCCATCCCAACGTCTCCAATAGCTCCCCACTGTATAGCTAGTCCAGGATACCCACCCTTCATTCTCTCCTCGCATATCCTCTCCAGCACGCTGTTAGCAGCAGCGTAGTTGCTCTGCCCAGAGTTACCTCTACCACTGACTACACTGCTGAAACAGACGAAGTGTTGCAACTCAGGACAAACGTCACGTGACAGGGTGTCCAGATGTCGTGCTGTGTCTACTTTAGCCCGGTACACCTCCTCAAACTGCTGAACTGTAAGACTCTCCAACAGACCGTCCCTCAGGATCCCTGCCAGGTGGAATATGGCAGTGACCGGCTGAGAGGTAGCTCCCAACATCTCCGCTACACCCTGGACAGTGGTTGTGTCGTGTGTTGCTATAGTAACGTTAACTCCACTACCCCTGAGTCTGCTCACCACCCACTGCTGGTAGCTGGATTTAGCACCTGACCTACTTGTGACGGTCACGTTACGTGCCCCGTGTTCCGCCAACCATTGAACTAGCTCCAACCCGAACCCTCCTAGTCCACCGGTTACAATGTAACTTTTGTTGGGTTGACAGGAGAACTTAGGAAGCACGACTGCAGGAAGCTGACCCGCATCGTCGGTTGTGCTGATAACAACTTTTCCTATGTGTTTTCCTTGAGCCATGTATCTGAAGGCCTGCTCTAGCTGGTTGTTGAGGAAACAGGTTGTTGGGAGAGGTTTTACGACTCCTGACTTCATACCTGCCTCCAGCAACCCTCTTACCTGGAGATAGATGTACGGTTAATCATCTATCAGATTAGTTAATAGAATTTAACAATGGTGAAATCACAATGTAAGTGTCTGTAAAGGACTCGACGGAAACATTAGAAATTGGAACCTCTTCCCAGTCAGAGTTGTTGCCTTCAAACAGAGCGTCCAGTAGGATACCGTGGAACGAAACATTCTTCAGGAAAATAGCAAGGCCAATTGGATTGTTCTCGCTCATATCATACTTTCCAATCTCAAGGAATCTGCCGTGTCGACTGAGACATCGTACACTCGCCTGAAAAATCATGTGTCAGTCGTAAAATCTTCTTGATCTATTTTTTATAATTAAAGGTATCATTCAAGAGATGGATTAAGATATTACTTCTCAAACTATCCGACCTACTAAAATTCTTATATTATTTTTTATTACAGAAAACGAGAAGTCGATTATCGCGCATTTACTAGAGTGCGCGTGTATATCGTTCTGAAAAGACGATGATCTTTTATAGAATCGATAATCAGACAACTATCGTAATGATTTCTGATTATTGGCCGATCATCAGGTCTAAGGTTATAAATAATGCAGTATATAAAACGTCTGTTCACTCTGTATTCAAAAGCAGTACCAATCCCGATTGTCTACCGGGCTATTTTAAGTTTACTGTGTTGAACTAAAGCTTTTTAACTGCTAGAACCTCGGAAACAATACAACAAGTGACCAGCACAATTATTAAAAGAAATAAAACTACAAACCTGTAATTTATCTCCAGCCAGGGAGTTGAGAACCACGTTAACACCCTTAGACTTCGTCATGTTCATTATATCCTCCTCAAACTTAGCACTTCGGGAGTACAAAATGTGATCCCGCGACAACTGTGGAAACTTGGACATCAAGAAATCTATCTTCTGTTGCGATCCTACGGTTGTGAAGACTTCACATCCGAGACTGAGGGAGATGGAAATGGCTGCCTGTCCAACACCGCCACTACCACTGTGGATCAGTACACTCTCCCCTCGTCGGAGTCTCCCGCGAGTTATCAGGGAATAGTAAGCTGTGCAGTACACTACGGGGACGGAGGCGGCTTCTTCTAAACTCCAACTATCTGGTACCTGTGAGATATTGCTTGTAGTTTCCCGTTTAACTCGAGAAATATGAACGACTGTATTTCAACAACTAGAGAGAAATTTGTGGACAAGACAAGTCCATATTTAGAAAACAGCAAGTAGAAACTTTGATAACATAAACAACCAATGTCCAATAACCCACCTTCCAAGTAAAGTCCGGCTGAGTAACCACTCTAGTAGCGAGCGCTTTGACAGGGAGAATGCCCATGACACGTGATTTAGTTCCCTGCACGTGACCACTAAACTCAAGTCCCAGCACACAGTCGTTACTGCCCTGCATCTCCAGAGGCAAGGCGTCAGGCGGGAGCTTACCTGTTGCTATCATTATATCTCTGAAGTTCAGCGAGGCAAATGATACCTGGGAGAGAGTGGTCAAATGTTGTGAGGTTCAAAGGTGCTGAGTCCGTCATTTAATTTATATGAGTCCAAAGTAACTTAAAGTATGAAAAGTAATAACAAGTCGCGAAACAAGTTTTAAGAGAAAAAATATTAAATTTTAAATGTGACAGGGTTACCTCGCAGGTAATAGTATTCTGGGATTTGGGAGAGGCAGGAGCTTGTATCCAGGAGAGTGAGGACAAATCTCCCCGGGTAATCGTGTCTACATACGCTGAGCGTGACGTCACGTTATTATCTGATGACGTCACGTGAGCTTTTGATGACGTCACGTCGGAATGACGGTACGTTCCCCACACTCCGTTAACGAGAACATTGCTCACTAAATCATGTTCAACGACAGAGGCTAGTTCTTCTCTCGATAACTTCTCTGATGACAGACACGATCTGAAGATAGGGTGGTATTATTTCCAGACCTACTAAAGGAGAACCCGAGAAGCAAAACTTCTGGATAACAGACCACAGTCTGATGACAATTTCACTGAAAAACAATACTTCTTTAAATTATAATTTAATTCGCACCTTATCTTCTGGGCGCAATCCTCCTGTCTAAGAGCGTTGCACAACCCCTGAACTCCTGTAGAAGTGTTGCCTTGTAGCCAGATTCTGTCTACTGTGTCGTCTACTGCAGCTGACTGTAGTGTTTCTGACCAACTGAACGTTTCACTTGAAACTTGTATGTGCTTGCAGCGCAGTTCATCCTGGTGCAGTGGGGTTTATTGAAACGTTAGATGAACGTAAAGCTCCAAATATAGACGTTCGTTCAGTCGTGTGTTCAATTTAAAAAGTTGATTGCACTCATAATGGTTATCGTTATTGCAAGTTTGTTGTAATTAAAGTATAATTAACCTGCTGCTGTTTGCTTCTGATCAGAGAGAGCGTTGCAAACGAACAATCTCTACTGGCGACTATTTCTGCAGTTTCACTTGTCTCCAACTTATCTTCTGCGAGAGTCAACATGACCAAGAAACCTCCAGCTTTCAATGAGCCTAGAATATTATCCATCGCCTCCCTAGAGTTACACACGGTCGATGACGTCATGATGATATTATATTTGTCGGAGGTGGGCTGAGATAGTGCGTCCCACACGAAAGACTCCGTAAGGTGCTCGTAATCAGTGATTTCTTTTTCTCGTTCCGAGCTTACAGAGACGTTGTAGGTGCAGACGGGGCGGCCAGGATTTGAGTTCAGCACATTCTCCACGTAACTGTTATTTGTTAGCTGTTATTTCATAGAAATTATACCTTGATTCGAAGAAAACAAAAAGCTAATTTGTTATAGTTAGCTGTTATTTCTTAGAAATCATAGCAAATTTTGGAGAAAAGAAAAAGTATTTTCATTGTTTACATCGGATCAAGCCATTGTTCACCCGGCGTCAGCATATAATTTTGCAACTCAGCGCTTGCTATTACACATTACTACAACTGCCTGATATTAAACAGGAATAGAAAACTATGTACTGGTAATAAGATCAATAATCACTAGCTATAAAATCTTATTGCTATTTCAAAAACCTTTTCAAGTAAGAGACTCCTCCCGCTTCAAGAACAGAAAGAGCGTTCATTCCCAGTATGTTTTCTTGAGCAATATCAAGCATGTTACGAAGCGAAGAAGTTTCAATAAACTGCTGAGCACTGTCCACAGCCAGCGCGTGCGGGAACTTCGTCACGTCACCAGTGACGTCGCGTGAGCTGTTGGTGACGTCACGTTGCGCGGTCACGTGCTTGTAATAAGGAGCGAAATCGTAGGTCTCTAACATTACTGGCCTTAGGTCAGATCTACGCTGGGATAGCGTCGTGTGTAGACCTGCAAACGGTTTTATAAAATCATAGGGTCACTACAGATAAGCTAATTTGTTACCAAAAACTTGTTTTCAAACGACTTCAGTTCTCAAAATTTGGGATAAAACTAAGTTTTAGTTTCAATAATTATTGTTTGATCTAAACCGTATTATTCCAGTAAACGTACCAGAAATAAAAACACCACCAGCAGTGCACTGTTTGGTGTTGTGGTTCACAGTAAACTTCACGTCACATCCCACACCCGGCTGCTCGACAGGGTTTATCCTTAACTCTCGGATCCTAGTAGGAAGTCTGAGTGCTCGGCTCTTGTTACCGATCAGTTGAACCTGAAGTTGTGGGACTGTTATCAATCATTTGAAATAAGGTACACGAGAATTGTCTTTCAAGTTTCAAGAAGCTGAAATCATGTGACAAGAGAAGTACTAACATAATATTATATCAACCAGTACTATTAACCAGTACTACCAACCAGTACTACCAACTGACCTGTAACATGGTGTCGAGGAAACTGACCCAGTCCCCGGACCAGCTCAGTTCACCAGTCTCCCCTCCCTCTGTTGAGTGGAGTATTCCCTGATACAGGGGACCGTACTCGTAGCCCCGCAGTCTGAATTCCTGGGGGTGTAATGTGAAACTTAACTTGGATTGTTGCTTTAGCCAGTGTGGTTATGGCAATTATATGCTTCTCTGCATCTTTGAACAATTAACACATATAATATATTCTGTATTCTGATTGAATGAGGCAACTGAGGCTTTTCTGTGGGGTGTAGATGTTTTGTTGTTAGTTAGAAAGTTTGCTTGTTTACCGCCGACAATGATTGATAACTGCACCTCCTTTTCGATGTAAGGTTCTTTAATTCCGTTTTGTTTAGTAATAGTATGTACTCCTAAAAGCATAGCACTGTACATGTAGTACAGTCAACAATTTTTTCCATTTCACCCTTTTGTAAAAAGGCAATAGTAAAAGGTTACGAATGGTCGTTTTTGGAGAAAAACGTGGATTTTGGAGATAGCGGTAGGCGGGTCTGAATATAGTGTCATTCCTTCCGTTCGTTACCATGTCAACTAGCCGCGCGCGCGCGAGGATTGCTTGCGGAGATGTGGTGTATAGCTAGCCTGTGGTCAATGAATGCGCGGCGCGAGCGTATTTTAATGTATACTACATATGTAATGTATACAGTATAGTATTAGGTAATAAGCCCAATTTGTACGTGTCACACGTAGTGTACGAAACAACGGGCGCAATGCTTGTTAGTACTGGACCATCCCTTAATCAAGGATCAAAATAAGGATCAGTATTACCGTTGGGAATTGAACAACTTACCCAACTTTTTTGGATTCTCACGAAGTAGATTTATGATTTCAATCACTCTTAACTAATTCACTCTTGATCACTTCAAGCTTTTTATCCAACTATATTGTACTGGAGACCACTAAGAATCAAATAATAAAAAGGTTCCTTGCGAAAACTGCCGTTTTGAAAAATTTGCCAAAGCCCACGTCACTAAGGTTAATGGATGATGATTAATTACTATACACTCGACTGTCACGTGACTTTTTCAACCCGTTCTCTAGCTGGTCCTGAACGACTATTCGAAACCCTAACCCTCTAATCTGATCCCAACCCTAACCCTAACCCAATCCTTAGCAAAAGCATATGCTGAAACCCTAGCCCTAACGAGAAATTAGACTAACTTCCTTATACGGTCATATCACGTGATCGAGAGAGTGATTTAGCACGCTCGAAGGTTAATTTAGCGTAAATCAATTTTAAAGATTTCAATTCTGTAATGTCTCTTGGTAAGTATAATAAACTGCAAAACATTGTTTCATTCGGTAAAACTACTGTCTTATCTGTCAGTTCCTTGCACCCAAACCGGCCTTCTAGCCTTCTAGTCAAAGTTTGCATGAGGTACAGTTGCTCTTTGTTTCCAAGTCACTTGAAAGCCCTTCCCCAGGTAGCTTGCGTTGTACACATACGAAAAGTCCAATAACTAGTACTTGTATGTGGAATTGTAGAGATGCAATAACCAATAACCTCATCAAGTTGGAGATGATTGTTAGCTTTAGCTAGCTCTGTTTAGAGACAATTATAGAACTAAACGATCTCCTGAGTAAGAGGAAGACTGTACATGTTACCCTACCAGTGTGTTATGTAGGTACTAAGTGCAGGGTATTGATGTAGTCCTTCTTTATTTAAATTATTATTCACGCCACAATCCACAATCCGCAGTGCGCTGCAGCTTATACATTGTTATGTAAATATTTTATGTACTTTTACAGAGCCCTAATACTTGTGTGTGTCTGTGGGTAATTTACAAACGGCTTAAAACGGTAAGAGATATGGGCCTGGTATTTTTCGGTATAGTGATTTAGTGTCGACAAAACTCTTACGAAGTCGAATAGCTTAATTTATTTTTTAAATCGGCCGGTGGTAAGTGGTTTAATTGATGGTTTTGTACGGGCCCAACGTGATACTAAAGTGTCTCACTTTTTCTCTCCCCCATCTCTCCCTTTATACATAATGTAGATTCTGTAATTGCTCATAGTTTTAAAACTACTACAGTTAAAACTGTTTAAGTGTGAGATGTTCATCCTTTTATAATTTTGGGTTATGTGACATGTTCTTCTGTCACATGAAACGTATCTTGATCCCTTGAATATGCGTGTTTTCGACTTTATACTTTGGCATTAATCTGTGATAATGAAGACCCAGCCGTAGGCCTGGGTTACACTAGTAATTTATAATTAAGCCAGACCTTACTTGTGTACAAGTGTTGTGTGAGAGTGTTGTGTACGAGTTTTTCGGTACAATTGTTTAATTTCAATGATTAACGGTTATGAGATCCACTGCGTTCAAGATCATCCACTCTCCGTGTGGTCAGTCGTTACTACCTCTTCTTTCCCCCATTTCGTTTATTCCCAAATTCTTTTATTTGTAGAAACTATTTCTTTGTAGAACTACTCGATCGCGATGGAAGCGCTATATTAGTATGTTTTAATTTTGTTACTATGTGTCCGCCACGACAATAATAATTAATATGTACCGTACAACATTTTTTCTTATACGATTGTCAATCTTTCAGCAAAATGGACCAGAAAAATATATCAGAGGTGAAAAGTGTGATAAAGATTGAAGAGGGCAGCAATATCATTCCAGAATTGATAAAGATCGAAATGGAGGAAGGGAAAGGTGAATGTCTGGTCAAATCAGACGGACCTTACTGTCCAGACATTCAAACACAGTTTCCTTACAAAGGATTTTTCCTTGCAAATAATCAATACAACTATTCTCTTGGACTCGAAAACTTCTCATTTTCACAAGGCATCTACAACGACAATTTAAAAATTTGCAGAACTTCAGCGGACGCGAGAGCTGACGTTAACAGCATCAAAACTACATCAGTATGGACGGAGCTCGCCACCAAGCTAAGAGGAATTCCTGGTCAACGAGCTCGCAGAAATGTAACCCTTTACATATGTCCTGAATGTGCCTACACCGCAAAGCGAAAATATCACGTTGTTGTCCACCGTAGGATTCATACTGGAGAGAAACCTTATAAATGTCCTGAATGTTCCTACAGTGTGAGCCAAAAGTCAAATTTAAATTCCCATATGAAGATACATACCGGAGAAAAACCATACAAGTGTCCTGAATGTCCCTACAGGTCAAGAAGAAAATCATACCTTACTATTCACCATAGGCGTCATACCGGAGAAAAGCCTTATGAGTGCTCTGAATGCGACTTTAGTTCGGGCGAAAAATCACGATTGGTGAAACATATGAAACTCCACAGAGCTAGAGGAGAATTCGATATCAAGGCTTCTGTAGCCCAAGATATTAAACATACCATCCTTAAAAGTAAAAGTCAGGTCTCAACTCCAACTTCTACTTCAAAGCATCAGCTCGTCTCTGAAGGCCCTCTATTTGTGAAGCCAATAAATCTCGTAAAACCACTCACTCTGGTAGATCCTCCAACTTTTTTCAATCCCTTTATCTCAAAATCCAGTGCAATTCCAACTTCTTATCCCTCTCTATTTAGTTGCCTACCAGCGTTATCTACCATAACCGAGTTAACAGCTCCTCTTATCTTCTCACCTGGTGTGGCAACCTTCACATCTCCTCCCACCGCCTCACCTACCCACTCTACAACATTTCCTCCTCCCTACAATGGGTTTCAAATCTCCGGTCAGTGCAGTACTCTATATAGAGTTTAAACAACTATCATTGGAGAGGAGGCCGACAGTCATCTGGGATGTAGGACCAAGTGGGAAAGATAGATATGAGGTATAGTTTCTCTGTTTCTAAGTAAGTGTAATAAAGACTACACCAGACACCTAGCAGTACCAATAACAATCTTCATTTTAGGGTCCCATATAAATTTGGTATTTGTCATTAGCATCGATATTTCGATTATAGAATATAATTGTATGACAATTGTTTGAATCACTTTTGGTTTACAATATTATATATGCATGTTTAGTTTACTGTTTAGAAATGTTAATATTATTTAGACCGAACTAAGCGAACAATATTATGTATTATTATTGGTATAATATATTTTTTTTCATTTAAAAATGTTCGAAAAAATCAATATTATCAATTGACTATATCCCCTGGATTAACAGTACAGATCTAAAAATGAAAGTAGAAAATAAATGTACCTTGTAGATGCCATCTGGTTTAAGAATGAGCTGATCTCCTGAATCCCCCTCCTCGTTGTCTTTAGTAGTCGGTACTGCATCATCCAGTGAGTACTGTCCACTTACTACCAGACTGTCACCTGATGTCACTTCAAAGTTCCTGGAACCCGGACTCAGTGTCACCGTCATGGTAGTGGGCCCCAGAGTCGACAGAATGGTAGCCTGAAGAGGTCAGAGTCTTAATATAAACATAAACTACCAAGAACGGTAATATAAAAAGTGTATTTTCTTCTATTTAGCGTTTAACTCATATAATGATATAACTAACAATCGCTATTCAAATTTATATTTATAAATATAAATTTGAATAGCGATTGTTAGTTATGTTAAGTGAGCAACGAACCTGGTGCAGAGTAATGTGTTGGAGGGTTATAGGACACTTATCAACGGTAGAGTGAACAGCTGTAGCTATAGACCTCCAGGCGAGGTAGAGATAACCTGTAGCTGGGAGGAGGTTCCTGCTGTCAATCACGTGATCCTTCATTGTGTGGTAGGGGTTGGAGGAGTCGACTGTGTCTATCTTGTACGAGTACGAAACCTGGAGATGAACAATGCTAACATTTGATATACAGTTAAGGGAAATCATGTCCATTGTCCAAACTAAATACCATTATAAAACAATCGTTACTTCTGAGGAATATCCTGAGGAAATGTTCCAACTAAAATGACTCGGACGAACCTGAGAGCCACTTCCAGCACCACTTCCGTAGTCACTGAGCCCGGGCGTGTTGTACTGGACAGAGTGGTCCCAGTCCACCAGACCAGACATGGGAGGTAGATCTACCAGAGGGAGGGAGGGTGCCTCGTAAAACTTAGCAAACTTAGGGTTCACACCCAAGTTCCAGAGTTTTCCAATGCTGTTCAGGAAGAATTCTACACATTTAGGATCTTTTCGTTTCATGAGAGGGAGTATTGTGCAGGTAGGTAGGGCTCGTTTAAGTATGGATTGTAGGAGTCCACAAGCTGCTATCTCAACCACAATCGCATTATCAGGGATCTTGGCAAGGCTCTCGTGGAACCTGAACATATGGTTCAAGTTATTTCATAATTTACTTTTCAAAATTCTGGAACCTAGTCCATCATACTCGAGGTCAAAAATTGTTAATATTATGGCCATATTCTGAATATTCTAGGGAATTCTTTAGCGGCCATTGACACTTTATGTTCATGTTTTTAGCAATAAATAAGCATCCTGCATTTCTTTACTTCAATAATTCCATCTCTAATTTCCGGTTATCCTTTTATGCCAACCTAATAAATTCTAGCAAAATCTCTGGGGCTTAAATTAGCTCATTACTCTATTCTGAAGTTGCACCGAAGTATAAGCTGTTATAGGGCTACGAAAAATTAGAGCATATGGGCCGAAATAAACAAGGAGACATAAAGACTAGCGAAGGATGTAGATTTCGACTCATCAAACTTAAATGATAAAAATGAGTACAGAGGCTTGATTTAAACTATCTTCAGTACAGTATTTAGTGGAGAAAATCACTAAAATATCAAAGTTAACTAACAAACAACAAACAACACTAAAACACGTACAAAAGTTAACTAGGTCACTAAAACACGTACCAAACGGGGCTGACAAGATTATTAGACAGATAAGTAGCATCGCAGTATTTTGCTTTGTCCCACTCAGATTCTTTTCTTGAGGTACACACCCAACCTGTAAATAATATGATAAATGTATTTTACTTTTTCACGTTTAAAAAATTTTAAAGTCAAATACGCTTTCCGATGTCATGTTTCTTGTGAACTGATATCAAAAATCTCCCAACTCTTTGATTAGAATTGTGAAAAACAACTGGTAGTGCAGAAAACAGCCAAAGTACGAAAACAAATGCGTCAATATGTCGACAGTGCAATTCTGCAACCATCGGAATTATATCTTGCTTTTGAACAATAATAATAGAAACACAGACGGATCAGCTCGGATCACGATTCAGCACCCGACTTAAACTTTTTAATGTGCGGCAAAAACACCGCAATTCAGCTGAGCAATTCGCCAAATTTGCAACTTATTGTTTTATTAACTTCCAAGCCCCAAGGTGTCTTACACTGGTTCTTCTCAGTTCTCACAATTCAAGATTTATTTACTTGGAATTAACCTCATGGAGGGATCTACAATAATACATGGGTAGTTAAGCTGGCGATGCGCACAATTGAAGTAGAGAATTCAATATCATAACTTTATAACTTTACAACGTAAGATTCCAAAACATTGTGTGTATAAGCAATTATTAAAGACAAAGTGCCTCAATTTCAATCGTATGAAGGATTCCGTCATTGTGATCCAGCTTGACCAGTTATCCATTTGCCAAGACTCACTCTCGCTTTTATCAAATACCTAGTACCTAATAAAAGTCCGTAGAGTGCACTGTGGCGCACGTGACAATCGATAAGGCGTGCAGAACTTGAAAACTGCGCGCGCATATTAGGACGTGTCGCCGTCAATCTGTATTTGGTTTGGTTGTAGGTCACTTAATATGTTGCGCGGTTTTGTATTATAAAGAAAATATATAATATACATATTTTTTTTCTTGATTTTTCAGCGTTATTATATTTTCCGATGTTTTTAATGTTACGTCATGAAAAACATTTGACCCTAACCATAGTTGTGCAGTAAAGTTTGGTCACAGGTCCGGGTCGTTCATCGTTGGTGAACTGCTATTTCGAAAACAAGTTCCCCTCGGCCCCTAACAGAACTTATCTTATTTGTTGATAAAGTTATAGTAAAGAACTAATAAGTAAAAAGGAACTCATAACTATGTTCCAACTCTGAAAGTTGACCTCCCCATATCAGCTGATCTTGACAGGAGCAGACGCGACTCTGAAACCCTACAATCAGAAATAAGGATGTAATATACTCATTAAACTGATCAACCCTTCAACATTATAATCAATGCCATAATCCATATTTGTACGTTTATCTTCTTGAGATTTGCTTTTGTTTCTGAAAAGGAAGTGCTACTACCGCGTTTTTGCAAGGGTTCCTCTGTTAAATACTATGGCAATTTTCTCAGGCACATGGTTAAACGTCTGCTGTCACAAGTTAAAATAATAATCCGCTATTTTTGCCTCATTTTGTGACCATCTTCTGGCATGACACGGGAAAGTGAAACACTTAGCTTTTTATATGTTTTTATAAGCCGAACATTCTCGACCATCCCACTGTTTAACAGTTAGTTAGTTGGTAATATATATATATGTTTACTGAGTATTTATATAATGAATAATGGCTGTTGCCGAGCCTTTAGTCTAGACCATGTCATTCCCATAGGGACAGGATGTTTTGTATATTATCACCAGCAGACCGATGCTATTATCTTCGTATTTGACAGGGATGCTATCTTTAGGTGTTCAGGTACACATCATGATTACGTGGTATTATATGGTATGCACATCGAGCCGTTACAGTTCATATGGCGTAATGGCGTTACAATGGGTTTATTAGAAAGTGGCCCTACTGACGAGCTCATTATCGAATCATTACCTCTGGCATAACCTTACAATTTGTAGGCCCCTGAAATGTTTTTGTGTACCCATTGCTCATGAATGCTCAGTGGTAATTTGCCTTATGTTTCTGTTTAAGCATCGATTACAGCTTGTTTGTGCTTTTACTGACCAGCTTTTGATATCAAACAATATGTAATTCGTCACACAAAATCTCCTTTATTTGATCATGATGGAATTGCATACCTAAGATTCTTTTCTAGATGTTCTTCAGGCCTCTAGACGGTAATCCTACCGCAACCCAAGTTTTAAACCACATATTTGCAAACCTATCGTACGTTGTTATTTGCCGACGCCAGTAAACCTCTAATGATCTGTCAGATCACCTTAGGATGACAATTTTATTCTAATTTTATAAATTTAGACCCATTCTTGACATTAGCTTTCCCCTGTAATCATGGTGAAGACGTCTTGAATAAAGACTAAATCAAGCTCAGAGTGATCGGTCGAATGACTTTTATAATGGTCTTGATAAAGCGCAATGCTTTTCTATGAACCTAATTGTAGAATAGAGAATTCTAGACTATTCGCTAGGATATTCGCTGAGCAAGCAGTTAGTAGGGGAGACATGTTGGTCATCGCAGACAGTCTGTGAAATACAGCTTTATTATTTTCTTTGGCTAAAAGAATTGCCGAAATGTGTGCACCCACAAATTGACTTATAATAAGTGAAACGCTTTCTTCTAAACTTCTAATCTTCTAATCTTATAATCTCTTAATCTTATAATTATCTAATTTTCTAATCTTCTAATCTTTTAAACAATTTTCTCGGTTGCTACAGAGTTTTAGTTCGTCAAACAAGGTAAAATTGTCTGAGAAACATAAGTAACCATTGTTATTCCTGGAATTCACCACAATTGAGTGAAACAATGCCGCCCAATCTTTCAATCAGTCAATTATTGTTGCCTTAAATGTCGCTTTGTTAGCCTCCTCTTCTCGTTTTAGATCAGTTGTTACTGAAATTCAGCAGTTGTTCTCATTGATGAGTTCTTCTGCTTACTATTTCTAGTTGTTAATTTAAAGACTTAGGCTTACAAAAGTTTGCTCCTGAGTAACTCGTGTTTAAACTTGGTGTCAACGAGACGACTTACTCTAGTATATATTAAGGTTGCTGTTTTGGGGACAAATGCACATCATGATTACATGACCACACGAGTCGTGACGTGTAGGGTATAACCTTAGCCATTAAAGTATACACATACAATATGTTGTGGGCTCTTATCGCCCTGTTGTTGTTATCAATTGTGCTGCTCTTCTTATCTAGCTTCTTCAGTTCAAAGTAGGCTAGCATATTAGCATCAAAGGTTAAGGGTTTCTAGTATGGCCTTTCAAGTAACAAAGGATTTATTATGATCGTAATTGCACAGTTGTTAGTTTCCTAAAGTTTCTGTTCAAGGATCAGCTAGAACTCATTTGTTTGTTCATTATCCAGCTTTTGTCATCAAAATGATTATAATATTTGGATCTAGACTCTAAATTACGTGATATCAAGACTCTCTATTAACCATGACAAGATCACATGAGTCAATGACGCACCAAATGCGATAGTCTTATTATTACTAATTTCGGGGAGTAAAGAACTATCCTAATTATTATTGTAATTATTATCCTAAGCATCACTCTCCATAGGCATGGTGCCTACTGCCCGGGTACCACAATGGTGACCGGGTACCACAATGGTGCCGTGTAATGGTGCCGGGTACCACAATCCACAATTTGACCGCATATTTATAAGAACTTCAAAGCACCTAACGTCCGCAAAAAGTTGTCATTTTGGGAAGCCAGCACAGTGTTCCTGACTCTAATTTATATAAATAGGAATAAAATAAAACATAATATATGGTAATGATGTGACAAACGGGTACACCAACGCAAAATGAAAATTCCAGAGGTAAATTCAGCCCGTTCTTCTCATTAGTTCCTTCCTACTGTTACCTCCAGTATATTAATAAGTTTAACTAAAGAGTTTAGTGAGCTGTTTGTCAGTGCACGATATTTGTCTTGTGTAGTACTGTAATAGGTGGGATATCCGATATTGATGGGAAAATTTATATTCCTAAATTTGTCAACGTATTTTGACAGATTGATGGAATGTCGATTTTATCTATTTTTCCCCTGTTCGATTACGAAAATCAGGGTACAGAGATTTTCCAAATTGTCTCATTTGATTAGTTTTTCCCCCCAATTATGTAATGGTATTTGTGCGTTGTTTAAGAATTATTTTCTCTAGTGAGTAACCCCCATCATCCGTTAATGCAATGCTCTTTGATTTCTTGATTGAAGTCACGATTTTATAAATTTTAATCAATCTAATACCGTTATTACTTTATTATATTACTTAATATAAAATTCATCCTTTCGTTACTCCTTACCAAAGACTAATGCATGACAAATCTCCGCAATTCATAATTGGATATTGGTTTTCCGTTTTCCTCTGAGTAACTTTATAACCATTCCTCTGACTTACTTTATAATCTTACTAGCTCCATTATGTTTGACCACATGGCCAACGTGTCTGCAGAACTAGACGAGATCCCAACCATCGTATCACATCTAGACAAGCTCATCTCGATGAACCTGCTAACAGGCCTGTTGTTTGGAGTTCCAGCTAACATTCTCTCCATCTACTACTTCAACGTGCTGTGTAAAAGTAGGGACCTGCCCACCCAGCTCTACAGACGGATCTGTGTAGTGGATCTGCTCACCTGTCTGACTCACCTCCCTGTCATGTTAAGCATGTGGTGGGGACGTGATCCCCTCCTCTTTGGCAACATTCACTTCTGTATTGCCTGGAGGATCGTCTTCAGAGCCCTGCAGTTGTTAGCTATCTTCCTGGTCCTGCTGCTTGCTTTATCCAGAGCTATTGTCATTTGCTTTCCTTTCACGACTCCAACTAAGGAGCCCGTAGTGTGGGCTTTCAGAGGTTATGTGCTATTCCTGGTGTTGCAGTATGCGATCTTGAGCTCCAAGCAAATACACGTGTATGACACTTTTGACGCCTATTGCTACGAGGACTTGGGCATCAAGAAGATTTACGGCAAAATTGATGATCAGTTGTATGAACTGGAGATTGGGATTCCATCGTTTATCATCATAGTGAGCTTTATAAGTTCTGTTTATAAACTGGGAAAGACTAATATAATCGCTACGACTGGAAGACAATCAAACAAGAAACAGGCTTCTGTAACAATCACTATAGTAACTGGAATATTCCTCATTTGTAACCTGCCGCAGTGTATCAACATGCTCCTTTGGATCGTAGACTATGAAAACATGCACAATTACTCACACCCCCGGTATCAGAACATCTTCATGAAGTTCTACACTTGGAACATCTCAGCAGTCCAGATGGTGGTCCTGAACGCCTACCTCAGCCCCATGGTGTACTACAGCAGGATGCAGGGCTACAGAGACTGGGTCCAGAGCGGGTTCAGCAAAGGTCAGCCTATCATTCAGCACTACTCTAACACCAGTTTAGATGCTAGAAGTCGAGTTGGAAGTATCGACCCGAGCAAAACATCTCCTACTCCTAGAGCTTCTTCCGTAAATATTTATAAGATAAGATGCTCTCCTGTCTGAGAGCGGAGTGACTTCAAACAATGGAAATAACTGGATAAAAACACGAATATTGTTATTTATTTATCGAACGTACCTTGAGATCTGAGTTTCGGGTGAGGAATGACTGGTTTCAAGCATTCTTCCAATTGTGGTCCAACAGGAGCGAGACAAGGAGAATGGAAAGCTACACCACATGAATTGACATTTTTAGCAAACACTCCATCATCTGCCAGCTTTTGGACAAGGTCTGAAACTTTTTGTTTGTCTCCAGAAATCGTTACCGAGTCCTGCAAATTAATTCAATGTACATATAACTTGGTTTCAACGCCAACTTTTCATTTTGATTCGAAAATATTGTAATATTCTTAGCATGATAGATCAAAACATTTTATTTTAGGAACCTGTACTCTGTACAGTGTACATAACTTACCTTTTTAGTATAAATATTATGTATTCCAAACTTGTACCCCAATAAATTTACCACAATATCAACAAAACGCTAGCGGTACTAAAACTCACCTCAGCATTGTGACAAGCAGGAACAACTCCAGAAGGACAAGCACTTGCTGCTTCACTCCAAGTCAAGCCTACAGCTGCCATTCCTCCTTCTTTTAATCCTGCATCTTTAATACACTTTCCTGCGTGCATAATGTTAAAGCTCCTTTTTAATAAGCATTAAAATATCCAATAAACTGATGATCTAACAATCTGATGATTTTAACAATTAGGAGATGTTTCCTTGTGAGAGCTTGTTCACATTACTAAAGTAAGAAGTACCTCTGAAGTAACTAGCTAAGATGGTTTGTCCGGCATCCAAACAGCCGTCAGCGTACCCACACACCAGTTCCCCTACACTGTGCCCCAAAAGCCCATCAGGCTTCAACCCAAACTCGCACAGCAGGTCCACCAGACCTATCTGACTGCGCACAGCCCGACAAATGCGTTCTCTGCACTCTGCAGCTCGGCTGCGGGGGAGGTGAGCAGGTGGTGTAGGTCTATTGTACATCCTGGAACAGAGGCTAGCGCTCCGGAACACTCTTCTATTGACCTGAAGTATTATTTGTAAAATCTCAATAACTTTACCAAATAGCCAGTAAATTGACCTTGCTATTTGAACACCATTAATAAGTATTTTACCAGTTCACATTTTACGTACCGTCTAAATGTTTCGTATTTGAGCATGTCTTTTCCCATCTCGTGCCACTGTGCCCCCATACCAGTCATTACGAACCACAAGGGCCGTTTCTCTGCTGCAGGGCTACTCTCAGCTACTATTGGTTCTTTCTTTACTCCGTTTAAAATAACAAATCCTCTTGTAACATTTGTTGCAGCAGAACCCTGAATAAATCAAACTTATTGTCTACATAGGATTCTCTAAACTGCACTAGACTGCCAAGTGTGAAATAAGCTGTTCTTTTTTCACAGAAACATAGATAAAAGCTCGCTAACCTGAGATATCATGTGAAGGTAGCTGAGTTTGTCATGGGTAACGTGCTCATCTCTAATCTGACACAGCGCTGACTGGGTTTGTTCTGGTCTCCGATTATAATACGGAACAAGGATGGGAATCTCCGAGTTTACAGGTCGTGGCTCATCTCCCGATACTCCCTGGGGTTTTGCGAGTTAGATTCAGCCTTTTATTAACTTAACTATTCATATTTTTATTAACTTTTTATTAACTTAACTATTAATATAATACTAGACTAAGAATTCTCGGAAACTTAAAATATTCTCAGAGATTTCAAAACTTCAAATTCTATGAATTTGAAATGTTTCCCGTAATCAAGTTATTAACCTGTAAAATGACATGAGCATTAGCTCCACCGAATCCAAATGAGTTAATTCCGATGATATCCCCCGATCGTAGCTCTAAATGCGATGTGACAGGTACAACAGTTCCATCAACGAGTGGCTTCAACTAGGAAAAGTGCATATTTAATATTTAAACATTCGATAAACTTTAACTATTTGATATTGACACGTTAATTAAACCTGCTCCGCCAGGATAGAAACCCTATTTTACTCCACCTGTCTCGTTTCAAAATTTAATGACCAAGTTCATGGCTAAATCCCAAAAATGAACGAATCCCTTAATTAAATAAAAGAAACCTTAGAGTTGGGTTTGTTGAAGTTGATGTTGGCTGGTATCTTCTTGTAGTGGTATGACAGGAGTATCTTAGTAAGGGCTGCCACCCCACTACTAGGCTCACTGTGGCCCATGTTGCTCTTAACACTGCCAACATAAAGAGGGGCGTCAGAGGATCGGGCCCCATTATCCAGGAAATACTTCTCAACTCCCAACATCTCTTGTGTATCACCAGCCTGGGATGGAAAACAACATAGTTTATATGTATCTACTTTCGGTGCGTGCAATACTCAAAATATTTTGAAATTCGGCAGAAAGACAAGAATTTCAAGTAAAGAATGTCACCTGAGTTCCAGTCCCGTGCATTTCAAGATAGTACACATCGTCAGGCGAAACCCCAGCTGCCTCGTACAGGTCGCTCAGCAACTCAGCCTGTATCTCATGGTTCGGATACGTTATCCCAGTACTCTTGTAACTACACAGGTTTAGAATGTAAATATTATTATAACTTATAAGAATCAATTATTTGACATAGGGAGGGTGTGGTTCTCCCTTGAAAATTGGTTAGAACTACATGAGCATAAGTTCAGGGCAGTAAAAAAGAGCCCACGATTCAGGATAAGGACTAAGGACGGTGAAAAATTGCCCTAAATTCAGGTTAAGGACTGACCCATCAGTGTTTGTTCGGGTGCCAAGAATTCTCGCATAGGCTCTTCTGGAGAGATTTTCCCTACATAAAACTACTGCAGAAACTGTCTCAGCTCTAACATATCCGTTAGCTCCTTCATCAAATACCTGAAACGGGTGAGTCAGTCTATGAAAAAGGAAAGTTAGTTAGGACATCACAAAAACCCCCTACTCAACGACCAGCATATCTGTCAATAAATTTCCATAGCGTAAGTATTCGTATTAAAACTTTGAAACTGGCTTGTTCCCAAGTCTGAACCATATGGCACATACCTTACAAGAGCCATCGTGGGAAAGCATAGAAAGTCTGTGGAAGTCTAGGGAACAATTAGGTTTTAACAGAAGGTTAACCCCCGCCACCAGAGCCATGTCACACTCTCCAAGCTGGATACTTTTGAAAGCAGCATCCAGAGCGAACATGGAGGAACTGCAGGCAGTGTCCAGAGTATAACTGGGTCCTCTGAAGTCGAAAGTGAAGGCTACTCTGTTAGCAAGCATGCACCGGCAGCAGCCGAGTAAACCATATCCTGTTTGGGCGTCAGCGTTTGATGACCACGCATCGTAAGCTTCAGAGGAGGATCCGCCTACATACACACCTATCTTCTTACCTTTTAGCTCGCTCGGGTGGTATCCTGGAATAAAATAGTCGGGTAGTTATCCTAACAGAATAGTACTATGTATGGGGGCTATCATAATCAGGGAATCATTAACCAGATATTAATTTGGCTACCAATTTGGAATCATCCTATAACATCTCGTGTAATTAGGGTTTGAAGTCAGGGTTTAAAATTTACTGGAGGGGCTTCGTAGTCACACCTTGATATATTTGTAATGCTATTAGAAACCCCATAATATGATAATTATAAATTCAAATATGTAGATAATCCTTATTTCTAACCTGAGTCAAGTATTGCTTCGTAAGCAACTTCCAGTAAAATTCTGAGCTGAGGATCCATCTGATGGGCCTGCTTGGCACTGACCCCGAAGAAGGAGGCATCAAAGGAATCTATGTCGTGGAGAAGTCCAGCTCTCTCCGGCAGACCAAATATTCCAGCAGGCCACCTTCTCGGCTCATCAGTGATCATGTCCGTTCCTGCGAAACAATGGGTTTATCATTTAGTTAAACGAACAATGCCCGGTGTAAGCCTAGTGAGCCAGTATGTAGTAGGTACATGATTCGTTTGATAACTACTAAATGCCAACATTTTTTGAAATGCGCCAAATTAAAATAGTTTATTAATGGTATGTGAATCATAACTGCTTCGGAAGCAATGAAACATCTTCATTGGATGATCAATGTGCATTCATGCATTGTACAATTTAAATTGTGCACATTTAAGAACTTACCAGCAACAAGGTTGTCCCAAAACTCATCCACATTGTTAGAATTAGGAAAGCGGCCCGAAAGCCCTGAGATTACTATGCCTTTACCCTCACTCATTGCATCATCTGATCATTAACTGTAATCGAGTAATTGTCATGTACAAAGTTTCAACAACTACACTAGCAGAACAAAGGAGCAGATGATTGAACTGCCAGCCTACTTCCAGAAAGTAGGCTGCAGCTGAAGGGTATAGTAACATAGTAAATACAAAAGCAAATAACTTAAGAATTATGAACTTTTGGAAGACGCAGAAATGTATAGTAAAGTTTACAACAATGTACATGGTGAACAGTACGACAATTATACAACACAGCGGAAAAGTAGTACATATGAAACTAGCTGCCAATCGACGTGTTTTAAGGCTAAAAACTAAGAGATTGGACGGTCTAACGCATGATTATCAAGAAAATAGCCTGTTTGAAGAGTTCGTATGCATTTACAGGTATAAATCATGCCGCTCAGGCTTGCTGCATCAGAGGCTGCTGTTTTCAGGAGCGATCCGGCGTGCAGCACTACGTGCCTGTCTCTTGCCCGGCGTGGAGGGCACCAGTCATTAACGATTACCGGCGTGTTACAGTAAATTGAGCCGGGGTGTACCTATAACTAAATACGTGATATTTCCTTACACTCATTTATGTTATTATTATTCTTGATCGATAGTGTATGTTTATGTACAGATGGAATGAAAATTGCTATTTCATAGACATTTTCCAATAGATAAGTCTGTTACAGCATTTTTAGATCTCTTCTAATATTTTCTTTAGTCCCGCAAGTAAATTCGTTTGTGATTCATTCATATTTATATAAAAATCCGTGTGTTGCCAAGAGAAAGGAATAAATATCTCATGAATTTGTTTTTATTTTATTTTATTTTTTTATTAACGGTTTTTACGTAACTTTTAAAACTTTAAAAAAAAAACTCATTAATTTAATTTCTACGTACTATATGTAAATAAATTATGACAATTATGTTAGTTATAGAATTTGTTTGTTTTTTAATGACGAAGGCTGTGAAATTTTCACAGTTCTGATAATGAGGAAATCAGAAAGAATGTTTAAAACTAGTGATGATGTTTATGTTATTATTCTTAATCTAATCTAATCTTCATTGCAGGTGTCACCGCATTAAAATTTCTACGTGTGTATGAAATTTGGAACAAGTACCTGCTTTCCTCCCGAGCATGTAAATAATATTATACATTCAAAGGACATAATAATCAGACACTCTTGGAAATTACCCCTTATACGACAATCCCGACATCGTATAAGCTGGGCATTTTGAATCCTCGAAACTGGAAGAGTTTATTATTTATGATTCATTACTTTAGTAAGTATAGCACTTACGAAAAAATGTAAGCATTGTAGATGTAAATACTGTATATGTTAAACCAGTACGTTATGTTACTATTTATAGTAACATTCTGTACGAGGGAGTGGCCAGGGGTGGAGTTGACACACGCTGCAACCCCTTTTGATCGCGTTCACGAGAGGTGTGCAACGTCGAGCAAGGGTGGAGGACGAAAGTTTTTTGAATATTTAAACACAGCTTCTTTGTGCTTCAAATGTAATTTTTTCCATCACTCTATGAAAAAAATGAGTTAAAGTGGACAGTGGTCGGGAGTGTGCAAGACGGTTATTTCCCCCAAACTTTTTAATGTTAACTACAAAATTATTGTGCCCAGCTTGAACTTTGCTCAAATTTAACAATATAGACTAAAGATTTAATAACAATATGTTGACCTCAGAAATAAATATTGTATAAGTAACAAAATGAGTAGACATCCTGGTCCTAGGGTGAACAAATTTCTCTAATAATGCAATCGCCTCGATCTAACCCACCCCTTTAAAAAATAAGATCTCGATCCGTCGCAGGCGAACACCGAATAAGAAACTTTAACATTGGTTATTGAAACTAAAGAAAGTCACTAATGACAATGAAAATGAGTATCGGGATAAAATTGAATTGATGAAAAGGACCGTGATCTTATAAACAATCCGGTCGGAAAGTGTCAAGATCAATGATATTAGTACTGGTAATTAATTCTGGTCCGTCCAGAACGACTGAGGTACACAGTGTAGACTGTAGCTGAGATAAAAATAGCAGACTAAAGCAAAGAACTTGGAGAACATGTCGCAACAACTCAATAACAACGTTACATTTGCAACGAAGCAGGAGGTTTCAGTGTATTACACTTAAAATGTACTTGCAGTGTACAGCTACAAACTGGAAATGTAAGCGCGCAATGTGGTTACTATTTCAGCTGCAATGGTCGTGTGCACGTGGTATTCAGTGTCACGTGATGCGCGCTAAAATGGCCGCGTGCTGTTGTAACGACCTACTCAAGGGACTATGAGTTTTGGGGGCCAGCATGAAGCAAGCAGCAACTGCCAACTAGCAATAAGAGGAAAAGACATAATAGCTTGTAGCAATCGTGACGTATCGACCAAAGGACCAACCATCCGAGCTTGTTACAACAACGTATGTCGTATTAAAGGATTAAGTATCAGAGCGTGTAACAATCACGTTACTAAATATAGAAAGTGCCTTGTCGCACCACAATCGATTGGCGATTGCTTCAATCCCCGGACCTCGTTGGTTGATCGCTGATGTACTATTAACTATGTAGGATGCTTGTTCGTCAGATTGATGAGGTGATTGTAACGTGATGATTGTAACAAGCTCGTAATCGTATGATTCAAATATTAACTCGAAAATTCCACAACTAGAGAAGCGCAAACATACCAACAAAAGCTTCATAGAGCAAATAGAACATTCACGGAAACACCAGCAGGAAAATTCGCATAAAAACTAGGGCAATGAAATAAAACACTCTGATTTCAGGAGCCGCTGTAATACTACGATCACGAGAGTTTTTATCTGTTATCGCGTTGTTTTTCAATGCAGTCAACTTCGACTCTGAAAGGTATTTGACCTGTTAGAGTATATAGTAGGAGTAGTTGAGCAACAAATACAATATTTTATGGGACGCAGAAAATATAACTGTATTTGACCAACTACGCTATGAAAAGAAAATTACCTTTCGCTGATTAATATAAATGTTAAATGGGAAAGCTTAAAGATGATTACGTCAATGGTCAAGGTGCAATCTAATCGGGTTTATCTCGAACATGCTTATCTCACCTACGCTGATAGGCTGTATATGATCATGTGGAACAGTTGATCTTAGATTAGTACTACTAGTACTTAGTAGTAAACTACTAATAGTAGACCCATGGGCTGTGGGCATGATACAACTGATACAATTACAGCTGAATGATATTTGTCGCGGCGAGATGCTTTGAGTTAGAGATTTAATTACTATTAGCCAAGACTTAGAAAAATGATTTGATGAATTCGTAACAAAAAGATAAAGGACTAAAAGTCAATACGTATAAAAATTGTATCGCAATGTCATAAAAGATTAAAAACCCCGATCAATGAATATTATCCATAACCACATATATATAGTCTAAAGTTGGTTGCCAAATGCTATCGCCTGTGCCAAATGTCGAGCATCCCTCAACATGTTGCATGTAACGTCTGCTTGTTCTTATCTCTTCTTATCTCTTCGTCATCGTTGCCGATCTAGTAACTAGCACGCAAATAACTGGATGAAGAGAGGGTAATTTTTAGGAATATTACCTTCTTAACCGCCAACCGGTATATTTCCGTTTATTTACCAGTGCAGAATCACCAGTGGTACTACTACTTCTGTTTGAGCAATATCATCCGCTATAATTTTCATAAACATGACCGAATAGAGATAATTCGGCAGAATGACACTGACAGGCTGAGCGCCGCCCAGTATAGATTGAATTATATCGCAGAAATCACGGACCAGACTCTTAGGCTATAATCTTGGTCGGGTGACACTGACACGATCCGCTTATGTCTCATAGAATCCAAAAAGGACAAGATAGGAGTCTGTACTGGGCATAGGCGGACATTATGAACTGCGTCAAGACCAAACCGTTTAAAGCATACCTATATTGCTTCATAAGTTGCTTCATAAGTTGTACATAAATATGATTATGACTAGTGACTACTAGGCAAATTTTGTTGTATCGGAAAAGTCTCTACGACCTTCCTGGGCCGAAATACCCAGTAAGTCATTTTTTATCTGCAAAGTCAAAAAATCACATTTTCTCCCATAACTTCAAAGAGAAGCATTTTAGGGTGTTTTGTTGTTAATAACTTATATATAAACTAGAGAGCCTGTGGTCACAGGGAGGAAGCTAATAGTATTCTTTGGTTGTCAGTTTTTATAGCATCAACAAATATCCATCACAACCGAAGATACAGCCAATTAAATATAGTTCGCACTGAACACCACGTAATAACAAAAAACGATTAAAATGCCCCTCTCAAATCCTTGCACTTGCACGTACACATTTTAACAACGTTACCATGGTTACTTTGCAACTACCTATTTCTCATCTATTTGCACGTGGGCGGTCGTACAACATAAATATTGTTGCGGTTATTTTGCACCCTTCGTAAAGTCACTAGCACATTCCTATCAAAATTTTAGAAAAATCAGTAAATATGAAAAACGAATAATGTGCCTTAATTTGTTGTTTGGCTTTGAGGTCCAATAGATCTGAAGAAAAATTAGTAATCACATTTTTGAGGACATCAAAAACTGCGCCAGAATTCAGAGAACAATTTCATGTCAAGCATCAAAACAATCCGATCTTCCCTGACTGACTTTTTGGTTAAAATAAGCCCGAAAAGTGAAAAGGACAATTTCAGCTTTTTGACTTTAAAAATTTATAAAAACGCAGCCTTTTTAGAAACGATATCAAGATTTTACACACATACAAAGTCACGTGTATATTATGTCAAGAATTATATAATATAGGGGAAACGAGTAGAACAGCACACGATAGATTTTCAGAGCATCGAAGAGCAGTCAACAGGCCTTTAACCTATCTTACTATATATAAAGCGAGACGTTTCCGTGCCATTTTACTGACACCACGGCATCAACTTTAACGCAACTTGCCGTAAAAACCGTAAAAGATATACAACTGAAACTTTTTTGACTGGGTCAAATAATTTTATGGCCTCCAAATC